CCAGTTATACTGACCCCAACAAGCCTACAAGGAGACCCGGTACATGAAACACACCCAGTTGGGTCAAGGCTGCTTGACCAAACACCCCACCTGGATGTTCTAAACATAAAACAATACGGTAGGAACAACATAAAGTATATCCGGTATTTTGCTAGCATTACCACTGAGTCCGTCTGTGACCAGGGGCTTAGACAGGCTTGTATATATCTTAAAAGGGAGACCAAAATGACTCTTGAGAGAATTTTATAATTAAAAAAACCTCATTCATTTATTTCATGGATTTAGACCATTCAGCACAGAGCAGAAAGTAGTTCAGATGTGTAACTTGAAAAATACGTTTGAGAAGCAAAAGAGTAACTAAGGATACCCAAATGGTCAATCAGCATATAAAGGATGCTTGATCTCACCAGCAATTAAGGGAATGTAAATTAAAACAGAATGGCGAAAATTAAATAAGGCTGACAATATGAAGTATTGGTAGGATATAAACTGTGGATAGGAGCCCAAATGAGCACAACCTCTTTAAAAGCTGCTTGGCATTGTAAGGGCGCCTGGGTAGCTAAGTCTGTTAAGCATCTGACTCTTGATTTTGGCTCATGTCGTGATCTCACAGATGGCATGGAGCCTGCTTGGGATTCTCTTTCTCTTTGCCCCTCCCCTACTTGCATTCTTTCTCTCTCAAAATAAATTTAAAAAAATTAAATATATTTAAAAACTCTGCTTGGCATAAACTACAGTTGAACATATCATATGCTATGATCTGGCGAACCTGGGGAGGGGCAGAGAGAGAGGGAGACACAGAATCTAAAGCAGGTTCCAGGCTCTGAGCTGTCAGCACAGAGCCTGATGCGGGGCTTGAACTCATGGAGTATAAAATCACGACCTGAGCTGAAGTCAGACACTTAAACAGATGTTCTATTTCTTGACCTGGACACTGGTTCATGGGTATGTTTCCTTTCAAGCAATTCAGCGAGATGTGCACTTGTGACATGCAAACTTCTCTGCAGCTATGTTATACTCAGGTTTAAAAAAAGGCGAAGAGAAAAAGTACCAGCATGTGAGATGGATGGGTATGTTTACATGGTTGCCAAGCTCCCTCTGCTGATGTGATTGCTGCATTTCCTTCTCTGCCCAGACAGGCATTCCTGGTCAGTAATATAATGGCATGTCTTTTGTCTTTTGTTTTTCCCCCCCTTCCTAAGCAATGAGTGAGTTTTACAAGTTCGGGTGTTTGGTGTAGGAAGTGATTAAGAAAATATCTTCATTGCATATTTATCACAAAACATGAAAGTTTATATAACTTTTTGTCCCCCTGGGTAAACTGGGATACTTCGAAGGATGCAAAATGATGACAGATATGGGTGACAGATATAACTGATGCAATTGGTACATTTTTTCCCTCAGGAGAAGGAAGGAAGGGAGGGAGGGAGGGAGGGAGGCAGGAAGGTAGGAAGGGAGGGAGGGAGGGAGGAAGGAGGAGGAGGGAGGAAGGAAGGGAGGGAGGGCGGAAGGAGGGGAAGGGAAAGGGGAAGGGAGGGAGGGAGGGAGGGGGGAGGGAGGCAGGCAGAGGGGGAGGTTGAACCAGCTTACGTTGCCGCTTACCTGCTCTCAACCTTGAATTGTTTGCTGCGGCATCAAGACCCGCACGGAAGCCCTGAGGGCCTCCTTAGTCCTGTGCCTGCAGCGACCACGCGCTCCCGGGAGGGGGCGCCGCACGCACTGTCGGCTCAGCCTGGCGGGCTCTCCCCGCGTCTTCCCGCTTGCGGAATGGACGCACACACGCACACTTCCGGGGAAAAGCCCTGCACATCCCAGTAGTCGGAGTTTCCCAGTAGTCGGAGTTTCCCAGTAGTCGGAGTTTCCCAGTAGTCGGAGTTTCCTAGTAGTCAAAGCTCCACGCCCTCTTTTCATCTCCTGAGAACATTCTCCTTACACAGGTTTTACATGTTCACAGCGGAAAACTGAGGAAGTGAAGATGAGTATGAGGGGCTCAGCGATCCCTCCTGCTTCATGGGACACGGACCCGGGAGAGAAAACATTCTGGTGGGGTTTTCTCAGGCTCCGATTAGACCGCCCCC